ACTCCTTTTTTTTTGTCCACTTATTTTTCAAGTTTTTTTTTTTTAATAAATCATCCACAGATATGATGTACAAATTGTCGGTTGAACACGCAATCTCCACGTACTCCTACTGACTCGGAGCTCTGGTGACCTTCAATGCGTCTGCAGGGGTCAATAAAAATGTGGGTTTCGCGCCCACGAACGCTCATGACCAGGCAAGACGAGCCCGCACAGGGAAGACTGCATAACGGACTAAGTAGACTCAGCAAGCCCACCAAAGCCGCGCAAGACAATGCTAGGGCAACACTGGACTGCACGAGTAGCAGCATGCGACCCGAAGACGAGACCAAGCAGGGTTGCGAACACGCGGGCGAAGTGCGGACGAGACCTGACATCGCACTAGGAAGTCGCAGGTCTCGCAAGCATTGCGCTGGGGACCGAGAGCTTTGGGCGCCTGGACGGACGCACGTACAACAACCGCACGAGAGAAGCATGCCAAGACTGACGGGCGTGCGAGGACACGCTAGCAGATAGCGGACGCGCGGGATGCCACCAGCAATCTCGCACGACTAGCGTGCGTGCACGCAACTCGACGGCTGAATGAGGTTTCTTGCATGCCAAGTGACCGATAACCATCTAGAATGCATAAGAATCTTCTTCAAGGGGATTGGACTATTTTTAGGACTTAATAATTAGATATTGGTTTATATTCCTAGATTGTTTAAGAGTTTATTTATAATTGAGATTTCTTAGATTTATTTTCCTTAGTTTAGAATTATATTTCACTTATGATTAGTTCTTCTCATAAGTTTCGAATTAGTTTAGGCTCTTAAATACTTGCTCCTAGTTCTTGTTTTCATATTCGTTCAAGTTTAAAGAAATAAGAAAACCGATATATTCGATCACCAATCTCATGTGTTAGGATTCTTGTGAGCTTTACATACAAATCGTGATAAAAATAGGACCAACATTCGGGTTTCATCACAACACCGTAAAGTACGATCGCGTCGGTGCACATATTAGCAACGTATCGCTTAGAAATCAAGGTGTCGGTGCGAGATTCGAGAAAAACGAGTTAGAAAAATGCGCAATCCTCATCATTGGTGCTTTTTGCCTGAATATTAAAAAATAGTTATATTATTAGTTTAGGTTCAGATTCGTGGGTTAAGAAAAAGGAAAAATGGTGAGAAAAAAAATAATAAAAAAAGAGGAAGAAAACTTGACGAATACGCATAAAGAAAGGATCGGGAAGTTGGAGATGGGGTTGAATCCCATAATCAAAGACGTGCAACCCTTGAAGGCGTACATGAAGACCATGCAAGATAATCAACACGCCACAAACCACCAACTGGTGAAGCTCGAGCAATCACTATCGGAATCAATTCAATCCTTAGTCGCGGAGGTTCCAGAGCTTACACAACGTGAGTAACAACAATAGAGAAAATCGAAGTCCTAGTCATCTTCGTAGGATTCTCACCTTCAGAAGCCGAGGACAACGAGGATCAAGGAAAGATGGACCACCAATCACGAGGGTCTAGAAATTCATGTCGACATAGGGAGCGGAGGTTCAAAAAAACCAAAGCTTGTTCTTTCCGCGTTCAAGGGAAAGGATCCAGACGCATGGTTGAGTCGAGCTACTCAATATTTTGACCTCAACAAGATTCCAAAGGTTGAACGCGTAAGGTACGACACATATTATCTTTATGAAGAGGCGAATACGTGGTGGCAATGGATCTTGCATGTTTATGAAGAGGCGAATACGTGGTTTGGGTCATCTGAGTATTATGATTTTGAAGACGCCTTGACACGAATTAGGCAAACAGGCAGCCTAAGTGACTACCAAAGGGAGTTCGAACGCCTAGAAAGTCATGCAAGAGGTTGGCCGCTCATACGCTCGCGACAGCAAGCCGCACACAGACCAGCAAAGTTACGCGGACAGCACGCCCAAGGCTGGAAATATTAGTGACGAAGAGCAAGGAACGAATGTCGAAGAGGAGAGGCAGCACTGGATAAGTAAGAAGCTATGCTTTTTATGCAATGAAAAATTTGCGTCAGGTCATCGGTGCAAGAAACAGTTGTACGCCATCGAAGACAACGAGGAAGAGCCCGAGGAGAATGAATCAAGGTGCCATGTCAATGAGGACTTGGAGATTTCGGTCAATACAATATCGGGGATGCATGGGCCGAGAACCACTAAGTTATCTGCTACAGTTCGAGGACGATTAATCGAAGTGTTAGTAGATACTGGGTCATCCCACAATTTTACTAACGCCATATTATCTGACGAGTTGAAGTTGTCGGCAACTATAGTGTAGCCGTTTCATGTGAGAGTAGCCAACGGGGAACAGCTACGATGTAATGCCCCGTTCAAATTAAGGATTTTTCTGATTATTTCTTTTATTTATGTAGTTAGCTGCCTTTAATTATTCTAAGCTCGACAAGTTCTTCAGATTTATTTAGACGTTAGTGTCTATTTAATCCGTTAAGAGAGAAATATTTTGTTTAGACGTTAATGTCTATTTAAAATATTCGAATTATCGAATATTCGTTAGTTATTCGATTCTTTTTTTATTTTGTTTATTCAGTTAGTAGTCGTAGCCTTTTCAGTCCGTTCCGGCTTCGTCAGTTTCATTTATTCTCGATTCTTAAAATTTATCGAGACCAAATTTGAGCTCATATTTCAGCCCTTATAAGTTTAGTTGTTTTCGGCCCAAAACATTTCAAAATTCTCGGCCCTTTAAGCTTATTTATCCGGTCCCTTTCCCAGCATTTGGATCAGATTTTTCAGGCCCATTAAGACTCTTTCCATGCCATTCTATTTCTCCCTAATCAAGACGCCGCAAACCCTCAAAATTGAGAGCCTTTCATCACAACATATTTTTCTGACGTCTCGATAACTCGATCGCAGACCCTCAAATCTGAAATTTTTTGCACCTCAATAGTTGATCAATTCACCTTAACCCATCGATCTCAAGCATCACCGTCACACCCCTTCTTCCTCACCACAGACCACCACGCGAGACGAGCACCAGAATTTCAGGCGACCAAACCACCTCCGGCGAGTTCAGCCTCACGCACAGCAACCTCCGACAGCATCATCAACGCTGCTCAGCACCTCTGCTTCTGTCGACCACGAATCGCCGTCCTCTCCTCGCGAGCCACGCGTTGCCGTTCGCGTCTCCCGTCCCGTTTTTCGAACGATTCCCGAGAACGGTACAAGGCTCGAACTCCGTCTCGATAAATCATTTGTATCGTTTATGTTATGCGTGTATTCGAGATGTTGAGCGTGTTTGCGAGTATATACATATGCCTATGATTAATGTGTTCAATGTGTGGATTGTATGTAGTCGATCTACTCGATTTTGATAAATCAAGTGAGACCTCGTAATTCGTGTTTAGGACTGTGGAAAATGGAACCTTGTTGAGTTCTTGGTCTTATGGCGAAGGCCTTGGACGAATTGGTTGAGTATTGAGTCGTTTATGATTTTTCGAAACCTAACTAGCTGCTGAATATTTGATAAATTCCTAATAAATTGCATACTGCTCGGATTGAAGTGAAAATTTGTGAGTAAGACCCTCTCATAAATGTGCAGCTTGTGTTAAAAACTTCATAATTTTTCATGTCTTGTAGCTAATTTAATTAATTAAAGTGATTTCTGGACAGAACCGTGTTAATTGCTTAATAAATTGAGTTGTGCTTTAAGTTTTATTAAATTCAAGTATTTTGTTTATCTGGGGTATATGCTTGGTGTGTAAAATTTTCAGAATTTTTGGATTTGGTATGCTAAAGGAAATAATTTATTTTGTGATTCTGTCGAAAACTGTTTAAATTATGATAAATTGATCTGATGCTGAAAAATTCTTATTTTTGGTTTAAATTCTTATTTTGTAATTTTTTTCATGCTGTAAGAATATTGGAATTTTTAGAGTTCATTTAGGTTTAGTTCTGTTGAAAATTCAAAATCAGCTGAATGTTGTAACAATTTTATTAAATCGTATGTTAAGTGTTTAAAGCTGAGATTTTTACACACTGTTATTCACATGCTTTGGTTCCTTGGATAAATATTTCAGAGGCCGAATCATTCATTGGGTCAGGTTTTAAATTGGTGCTCATTTTGCTGAAAACTTGCTCGAATTTTATAAAATCGTGTACATTGAATTTGGGTCTGAAACTTGGTGGTTTTTCTAGGTTCTGTGAGTTTGATTTTTTTTTTAAAATTTTAGAGTTTAACTCATTCGGAAACCTGACCAACTAGATTTTGTGATTAAAAACTAGTATTTTCAAATATAGGTTTCTGTGTTAAAAACTGTAAAACGACTCGCATGCTTTTTCTTTGTCTGTTTAACTTGGTAAGTCTTTGATTGAGATTATGTGAACTCCCATGCGTATTTAGTTGAGTCTTAGTGTCGAGTCTAAGTGTTCTAACGTCCACAGGACTTTACGAACAACTTAGTCGAATCGATTCGACTAAGTATGATTGTGTTTTACTTTTTAGGTCAAGATAGATGTTGATTGTAGCATCTTGACTTAATGTAGGTGCTTGACGATTCGAGCTCGCAGCCTATACGTGCTTTTGTGATATCTTCTACTCGCTACCAGGTGGGTTTTATTTAAAAATTGTTTATGCCATGAATTATTTACATTTGTTGAATGGCGTGATTAATGCATGCACCCTCGTTGTGAGCTGTATGTCCTTTGAGCGGTTGTCCCCGTCGTTGTTCGACGGGGCCTATTGATAGGCAGTCTCCCTAGCCTAATGATATGCAAGGCCGATGTGAGCTGTATGTCCTTCAGTATTTTACTTCCATTGTTGTGAGTTGTATGTCCTTCAATGGCTAATGATAGATGTGCACATGAGTAAAAATGTATGATTAGGAGATGTGATAATTGATTGATTCGTGTTCATGCTGCAACCATGCCTAACTGTTATTGTATATGATTTATTGTATAGTGGTGAGCACTACGATTTCCAACTGTGCTCATCCCCACCTGAAATTAATGTTTCAGGTTAAGTAAGGCGGGTACGACGGCAGGATGACGAGTGGATGGTCATAGTTATGTTTAAATTTGCTTCCGCTTTATTATGAATAAGGTGACCTTGATTTATGAACTTGAATTGATTGGGTTATGAACATGTTATTTCTTTTTTAGAACTATGACGTTTAAAAATGTTGGAAACTGGGTTTGTTATTTGGTTGGTATTGATGAACTATGTTTGGATATTCATGATGCTATGTTATTTTGAATATCATGTGAAATTTTATGTTTTGGGGACAATGAGGTCCATGTGAAAACCGGGTAATGAATTCCCGTGATGTTTCAATTATGACTTGAAATAAGATAATGTCCTGTTAATGATAATTTAGAAAATGAACTTTAAAAATGTTAACTTGATTTTTTTGAATAAGCTATGGATTATTTATAAAATCAAAGTGGGGGGTTTACAGTTTTGGTATCAGAGCCAGTCTGCGCTTCTGTAGACTGGTATGTTTGAATTATGTGAACTTTGTGAAATATTTGCATAATATAATGTAATATAAGACCACTCGCTCGTCGTGCCGCGCCAACTCAGGTATGAGTTTCATAAGTGAATTTGAAATTGCTTAAGTGTTGCCTGATAATTGAGATAAAATGCTATGATATGATTTGGGGCTTAGGATCTATCCACCTTGGTTTTAATTTGAACTCTAGTGATATAGAGTTAAGTTCGGACTCTAGAGATTTCTCGTTGACAGTTTCAGTATGTTGTTATCGAGATAAGTTATGCCCATAGCAGTTTCCCTTGCTATATAATTCTTTTCAATGTCTTCAAGTGAGGACTCAGTCAATTAGAACCAGGAATGCATTTGCTCTCTTCGGACCTTTGCCAGGTTTCGAAAATTATGAGATGAGTCGATGTTTTATAGGCTGCCAGTATTATGGATGTTTATGTCCTCTATTCAACCCTTGGTATTGTATGTTTGATGATGTCTCTTGCGTCTTAGCAAGAGTGAATTCATGTTAGCTCGAAGCATGACGTTAAATGTTGTTTTAGGTATGACATGCGATATTGCTACTTCAGTTGTGCTCTGTTTTTATTTTGTTTTTTTTTTTTTTGTCGACCAAGAAGCTGTTTCTTGGACAAGTGTTCTTCACAAGTTTCGTAATGCTCTGAGTTAGGTTTCAGTGAGTTTTGGAATTTCGTGATTTGGAGTTGAAATGGATTTTATATGAATTTTCAAAGTTTGACAAGCATGCAGTTTTTATAAATTCGGGCAGAAACTTTGACCTTAGTTCATGGCTGTTTTTGATGATCCTAACGTGCCTGTATGAAACTGCATTCTTCTTGAAAAATGTAGTATATGATGAAATCTGCCTGTAGAAATTAGAATTATGCAATTTGGAGTTCCATTTGATTTTATATGATTTTTCTAAGTGGGATGTAGAACCAGTTTTTACGAAAACTGGTTTGTGTTTAAATATTGAATGTGCGCTCTGTTTTGATGACCTAAACGTGATTATATGAAAAAATAATCTTCATAAAATTTTTCTATTTATATGTTTAGATTCTTTAGGTTTTGAGTTTTTATGAATTGGAGTTGTGTAGCTTGAGTTGTTGCCGTTTTACTAAGGTGCTGTATTTTCGAAAAATTGTTCTCTGGCTGTTTTTTCAAACTAAATATTTTATATTCAAAATCGTTGATAATGTTATAATTTACCAATTGGGTCTTCAGAGAAGTTGTAGATAATTAAGTTAGCTACCTTGGGGTTTTTGAATTTCAGTAATATCATGTTTGTAGTTTCGGTTATTGTGCATAAACAGAGAACCTGTCAAGATGTATATCTTCATTTATCCACTGCACCTATATTTTGGATGTTTGCTGCATTATGTCCCTTTAAAAGACTTTATCTACCTGAGTGTTCTTCATGAAAGTGATAGAGTTATGAGTTAGGGATATCTTCCAAGTTGTTTCATCATGATATGATTTGTAGACTGGAAGCTACATACATTTTAAATTCATCACGCATGCTGAAAATTGGTGCAAGTTCATGTTTAGGTTTCCAAAATGAGTTGTGAATTTCAAAAATTAGCATTTCCTAAATTTTCATGTATATGTGCCCTATGTGACTTAATCTGTTAAGTATTATAATGTTAGCTGGAAACACTTGCGAGAGAAGCTTTACGCTAGATCTCGAAGTGTGGAAGTTATAAGCTATATATGTGGTCGATCTCGTTTAGGACCGCCGGCACGATTAGCTACCTGAGTAAAAGCTGTCGTGACGGCCGACATTGTTAGTCGGAAGGGTCAAGCGAGCTAACCATTCTAATGTTTG